CAAATGCAGACTGGTGCACCCACTGTGGAAAACAGTGTGGAGTTTCCTTAAAAAATTAAAAATGGAACCGCCCTTTGACTCATCGATCCTAAGTGAATACATTCTAAGAAACCGGGGATACATTCTAAGAAACCGGGGATACATTCTAAGAAACAGGAAACACTAATTCAAAAGAATATATACACCCCTACGTTCATTGCAGCATTATTTACAATAGCCATGATCTGGAAACAGCCCAGATACCCATCAGCAGATGAGTGGATAAAAAAGCTGTGGTACACCTACAAAATGGAACACTACTTGACCCTAAAAAAGGAAATCTTACGTTTTGTGACAGCTGGATGGACCTGGAGATTATTATCCTAAGTGAAATACGCCAGTCAGAAGAAGACAAATATTTTATGATCTCACTAACATGTGGAATCTAGTGAACAAAATAAACTTACAAACAAAATAGGAACAGAAGTATGAATACATGGAACAGACTGACAGCTGTCAGAGGAGACAGGGAATGGAGGGCTGGATGAGAGAAGGTGAAGGGATTAAGCAAAAAATTTGCATATAACAAAGACACAGATAGCAATGTGGTGACAGTCAGAGGGAAAGGGGGGTGGGAGGTGGGTGGAGGTAGGTGGAGGTGAGCAAAGGGGGAATACATGGAGATGGAAGGAAACTGCTCTGGGAGATGGATGCACACTGCGGTGTGCAGGTGGTGTTTTGTTGAGCTGTACACTTGAAACCCACGTGGTTTTGTAAACCAATGTCACCCCAATAAATTCAATTAAAAAAAGTTAATGGGGAAAAAGCATGAACCTTTGGAAAAAAACTGAGCAATCTAGAGTGGCCAGAATTTGGGGCCTTGAAGACGAGTGGGGGAAAAAAGTAGTAGTCAGGAACAATACTGACAGTGTGTTCTCAGGTCATATGAGGGAAGTGCATTTCCCAGCAAGGTAAGTAGTTCCCATCCACCTTGTAGGGAAATGAGCAGCAAAGGTGGAAATGTGAATTTATGTGTGTGTGTCCTCGCTGAAAAATTAAAAATAAAGAGCATGGGGGGGTGATAAGTAATACATATTTTGCTTTTATAGAAAGTTATTCAACATTTAGCTTAGACATACAGACAAACTAATTACATATACTTTTTATGGTTCTTGTTTTGACCACTACCCTCTTTCTAATCATGGGATTGGTGTAGCTCTCGAGTCATACTTGGGTTGGGTTCTCCTTTTTGCCCTTTCTGCTTCAGGACAGTCTGCTTCTCTCCTGACTTTCCTTTTTTTCCAGACCATCGTTAAGTTCCCTATAGAGAGAGAAGTCTGGTGGCAGCATGGAGGTGGGAGAGGAGTACAGATGGGAAGGAGACAATTTGGGAAAGAGTGATTAGGGCACGCAAAGTAGAGGGCACTGGTCACATTTGTCCCAGAGGATCCAAAGAAGAGAACCAGCATCCAGTGATACAAACTGAAGTCTGACAGCCTAAGTTGCCTAAAGATGCAAGAGAGCACCTTGACTTGCCATTGTAGATTGTCAGACAAACTCGACAGCCATTTGACAAGTGAGAGGATTCAAAAGGTTTCCTTGTTGTCTATTGCTGCATAAATTACCACAAAATAGAGTAGTTTAAAACAGCAGCCATTTATTATATCAGTTTCTGTGAGTGAGGAATTAAGGAGTGGCTTTGTTGGATGGTTCTTGCTCAGGGTTTCTCAAGAGATTTTAATCAAGAAATCTGCCCAGGGCTGCAGTCATCTGAAGGCTCACTCAGAGCTGAGGCTGTTGGTTGGCAGCCTCCATGACTCACTGGCTGTTGGAAGGAGCCCACAGTTTTTTGTCACATGCTGTTTGAGTGCCCTCTCAAATTGGCTGTTGGCCTTTCCAAGAGTGAGTGACCCAACAGAAAGAGCAAGATGCCTCAGAGAAGCCACAATGCCTTTTTTGACCTCGCCTCACAAGTCACACACTGTCACTTTGCCAAATTTTTATGCATTGGAAGGGCATCTCAAGGGAAGAGCAATTAAGCTTCACTTCTTGCCAACAGTTTATAGACAAAACACATGTAACAAGGTTATACACAAGGACCTCAAGGTTTTCTTCATACCTGAGATTCTCTAGCTCTATTCATGAATCAATAAAGAAAGGACAAATTATGAAAGTGCCTGTATTTCAGTCATCCCACCCTTGAAGGGGCCAACCAGGGCTCTTGTAATTGATGTATTTATCAAGAGTAGTGGCTTATACTGTCTTTCTGGACATGGTTAAGTGGCAATGTTATTTAACTGAAACTGCTTTCGTGGTATGATGAAAATACTATTTATGAATTTTCAGAAAAGAGAGTAGATACAGAAAAAGATGAAGTTAGACATTGTGATGTGAACTATACTCTTACGTTTTTGCCCAAAAGGAGTCATAAGTTACTCCAGAAATAGAAGCATGAACACATTCTACAGAGTGAAGGTATTTCCTATGGGAATAACCAGAACAAGAGGGTGGTGGCTCTGGGAATGGGGGACAAAGTGACTTCCATGTCTCCCTTCCTATATTTCTGTACTGTGTTAGCTTTCTTACTACATACTGAATGTATATAACATATTTAAAGCAAAAATATAAAAATCCATATAGTCTGTAGCATCTATAAGTTGATACTAATATTCACTAGATTTTAGTAGATAAAAGTCATGAACATCAATCCCTCTAGTTCAATTTAACAAATGACAATATTACTTAGTTCATAAATTAACACATTTCATTCTTCTTCTTGAACAGAGAGAAGAAACCAGTTTACAAATTACTACTTTGCTGATAAAATGTATTTATCAAGCTAAAATTCTGTGACTTATTCTTAAATATGCATCTCTATGCTATACCACCAAAAATACCTTATAATTTTCAGGATTCACTCAAATGGGCAAGAGTCCAGGCTCAATAAAAAACTGACCCTCTGTCCTACAAACAGTCCATGAAGCAGTTTTAATAACTGCTGTCCCTCCTCCTGACACCAGGGGTTAGTCTGAGTTGTTCTGGAAGGTGCAGGTACTTAAAAGCGAACTCTATGCTTTCTAACTGGGAAAGATATTTAAAGGATTCAACAATGATTAAGATACCAAATAAGCAAATGGTTAATGTGCCTTGGTTTAACAAAAAGTGACCATTTAAGAAAAACATTTCCTGAGAGCAACATCAGTACCAAGTATAAGGGGTAGAAAGAGAAAAGGAATACAACAAGAAAAACGGCAAGGCTGGTGGTCAGAATCCTGGTGAAGAAAGAGACCCTTTACATAAAAGTGCTTTTCTTCCTTTGAGGAATGAGGAAAGAGATTCTATGAAAGCTCTTTGGGCTTTTATAGAAAAAATATTTTTTATGGTCATGAGATATGCACAGTCTTCTATTTAATACTCATAAATCCTCAAATTATGAAGAGACTTTTACTATAGCAATTCACAACAGTCATACAAAACACTCATTTGACCCTTCCTCATCACAGCTTTATGAGAAGGACATGGCAAGTGTCCTCATTTTACAGTACATCCATACTTCCTTTAAGGAAATTTATACAAAGAGTTGAACTACCTTAGCCCCTGTGAATCACCTATACTGTGTATATTAAAAAACTGTTAGAGAAGAAAGGATAAATACACATTGGTATGTCTTACAGTGAAATACTATACAACAATGGAAATGAACAAACTACTAACACATAGAACATGATGAATCTAACAGGCTTAAGGTTGACTGAACACATCAGACACAAATAGTACACATTCTCTGATTCCACTCAAATAAAATATACAACCAAGCAAAACTAATCATGGTGTTTAGAAGTCAGCATAGCAGTTAACTTGAGAGGAGGTAGAGACTAGGAGGTGTTACAAATGGTCTTTTCAGGTTGTAGTAAAGTTCTATTTTTTTTATCTGGGTATTGGTTACATGGGGTGGTTCACTTTGTGATAATTCATCAGGCAATTGCAGTTACAATTTGTGCACTTGTCTGAATGTATGTACACTTCAATTAAAAAGTCAATTAAAAAATAATATATAGGACTCCCTACTAGTTTATGTGGCATCTTTATGCAGATTTTTAAAAATGTCCCCTCTGGCCCTGACCTGTGTGGCCCAGTTGGTTGGGTGTTGTTCCGCAACATGAAAGGTCACCAGTTCAATTCCCAGACATGGTACCTGCCTGGGTTGCAAGTTTGGTCCTAGTCAGAATGTATATGAGAGGCAACCGATCAATGCTTCTCTCTCACATCGATGTTTCTCCCCCTCTCTTCCTCCCTCCCTTCCCAACTCTCTAAAAAATAAATTTTTAAGAAAATAAAATAATAATAAATAAAAATACCCCTCTGGATGAATGAATTAGAAAAAGGCACCCCATGGGTAGAGGTAGCCCTACAAGTTTGGGCCATGGCAAGTGGAAGGCAGGCTGGGTTTTATCACACATCTGGATGAACATCTGCAAATCTGAAAAACGCTCATTTGACCCTTCCTCACCACAGCTTTATGAGAAGGACATGGCAGACATCCTTATTTTACAGATGTGGAAGTGACACAGAACAGTGTTGCATGAGGGTGTCACAGCTAATAAGTGATGGAGCCAGGATGGATTTCTAGGCCAGCAGTTCTTCACATGGTTCTGATTCCTTTTTGGGAGGGAGCACAGGAAGAAGCTTTCTATACTACTGTGTATGCTGTTATGGGTCATCTTAAATGTTTTGTAGAATGAGGAAGGGGATAAAAAATGTCCAATATTCTTAATATTGGGCTTTAGTGAAGGTCCTTGGTTCCAAGCCCATTTGAGAAATATGCTCGAAGCATAGAATCAGAAGTAAACATTCATCTTTTAGATGTTTATCTCTGCAAAAAGATCAGTAGAAAGAGAAGGTTACATGTCAACAGAGCATCCTGGCCCTCCCATAGCTTATTGACTTAAGGATAGAAATCTTTCCATGTCTTCAAAAAATGAAAGAGAAAGACACACACACAGTGTTTATGTCCAGCTTACCTAGAAGTGTCTGCTTATTTTGGGAGGAGCCAGGCTCTGCAGAACATCTGCAAGACCGCAGAACAATCACTCCTCCAAGCACACCATCTTCACTGGCCAGGAAAGGTGAACCTAGGCAGAAATGACTTGTCAGTTAATTTTACTATTTTCATTTTCATTCAATTACTAGAACAAAAATGCGGTATGAATAAGATTTTGAATGATACCGATCTCCTGACAATCACCATTGTTCCCACCTTGTATAGGCAGATAGCAAAGGCAGGCTGATGTCTGAATAGGGGTCATTTGGCAAAGACAGTGTCACATGTTGCCAAGAAGACTTGAGTTGGGGTGGAGTGTGCATTACTGTATTCAGAATGGAATTGGAAACACTACCAGATTAAAACCAAACACAAATACAGGAAAAAATGCTCGGCAACTCTCTTTGATCAGCTCTTAGAGATCATTTACCAAGCTCTCCCTGCTGTCAGGGGCATGCCACCAAAAGCTTTGATTTACTACCTTAAATTCAATTTTAAACAATACACCACAAACTTTATTGCAAACATGTTAAAATGCTCCTGATGGTTTACACAAATAAGGGTGAAACTATATTTCTATTATGAGAGTCTAGAGGATAGAAATGACTGGGCCTCTGTGAAATCTCACACACTGAACCACTGTAGCATTTCAAGAACACTACATTTAAAACATTTTTTTATTGATTTTTAAAGAGAGAGAGAAGGAGACATGGATTTGTTGCTCCACTCATTTAGCATTCATTGGCTGATTCTTGTATGTGCCCTGACCAGGGATTGAACCCACAAACTTGGCCTACCAGGACAATGCTCTAACCAAGCAAACAGCCAGCCAGGGCAGAACACTACATTTTAAAACCCCTCATTTTTCTTCCTCAAGGACATCTTCAAACATCTGGCATAGCAAGTGAGCACATGAAGAACAAATGCTAAATTAACCCAAGAACTATCAAATAAATTAGTAAAAATAAAACACAATTAAATTGGATTTAGGGGGAGCTTCTGGTTAAACATAGTAAATTAAATGCATGCATTTATGTCCAGTCCTTGTCAAATCCCAGTAACCTGAGGAGGGGAAAAAAGGCATGACCCAATAAGAACAAGGAAAAAGACAGACAAGAAAAAAAACTGACCTTTTAGAAAATGGACTTCCAGCCAAGATAAGAGGCATAGGTAGATACGCTTTGCCTCCTCACACAACCAAAAGAAGGACAACAACAAATTTAAAAACATAAAATAACCAGAACTGCCAGAAAATAAAACTGTATGGAAGTCTGACAACAAAGGAGTTAAAGAAGAAACATTCATCCAGACTGGGGCCAGAGACAGGTACTCAGGGTTGAGAGGATGGAGAACCAGGTAGGCAAGGCAGCGGCTGGTGAACCGGGTGGTCCCATGTTCATGTGCAAGACAGACTGTGGGAAAAGAAAGCCTCAAAACCTCTGGCTGTAAAAATCTGTGGGAGTGGTGGCAGCAGCAGAAACTCCCAGCCTCACAGGAGTGTTGTTTGGAGATACCCACAGGATCTTAGAACATACACATCCCACCCACCCGAGAATCAGCACCAGAAGGACCCAATTTGCTTGTGGGTAGCAGGGAAAGTGACTGGTAGCCGGGGGAGAGCTGAGCAAGCACCATTGTTTCCTCGCAGACCCCTCCCCCACACACAGTGCCAAAATGAAGTGAAATGGGTTGCTCTGCCCTGGTGACTACCTGAGGCTCCTATCCTTACAACATAACAGGCACACTAAGACAAAGAAATATGGCTCAAATGAAAGAACAGACCAAAACTCCAGAAACACAACTAAATGACAAGGAGATAGCCAACCTATAAGATGCAGAGTTCAAAACACTGGTAATCAGGATGCTCACAGAAATAAATGGTTGAATATGTTCTCAAAATAGAGGAAAAAGTAAAGGCTATGTAAAGTGAAGTACAGAAGAACATACAAGGAACCAACAGTGAAGGAAAGGAAACTGGGACTCAAATCAATGATTTTTAGCAGAAGGAAAAAAAAATAAACATTCAACCAGAACAGAATGAAGAAATAAGAATTCAAAAACGAATGAGAGGCTTAGTAACCTCCAGGGCAACTTAAAACATTCCAACATACGAATCATAGGGGCGCCAGAAGGAGAAGAGAAAGAGCAAGAAATTGAAAACTTATTTGAAAAAATAATGAAGAAGAGCTTCCCCAATCTGGCAAAGGAGAAAGACTTCTAGGAAGTCCAGGAAGCTCAGAGAGTCCCAAAGAAGTTGTACCCAAGAAAGCACGCACCAAGGCACATCATAATTAAGCTACCCAAGATCAAAGATAAGGAGAGAATCTTAAAAGCAGCAAAAAAAAAAAGGAAGTAGTTACCTACAAAGGAGATCCCATAAGACTGTCAGCTGATTTCTCAAAAGAAACGTTACAGTCAAGAAGTGGCTGGAAAGAAGTATTCAAAATCATGAAAGGCAAGGACATATATCTAAGACTACTCTACCCAGCAAAGCTAGAATGGAAAGGCAGATAAAGTGCTTCCCAGATAAGGTCAAGTTAAAGGAGTTCATCATCACCAAGCCCTTAGGGACTTATCTAAGAAAAAGAAGATCAAAACTATGAACACTGAAGTGACAACAAACTCACAACTACTGACATCTGAACCTAAAAAACAAAAACAAACTATGCAAACAACTAGAACAGGAAAAGAATCACAGAATTGGAGATTATGTGGAGGGTATCAGCAAGGGGTGGGAGGGAAACGGGGGAAAAGGTACAGGGAATAAGAAGTTTATGTGGTAGGTACAAAATAGGGAGAAGTTGAGAATACTATAGGAAATGGAGAAACCAAAGAACTTGTATGTATGACCCATGGAGATGAACTAAGGTGGGGGGGAGATGCTGGTGGGAGTAGGGGTGCAGGGCGGAGGGGAATAAACGGGAAAATATAGGACAACTCCAATAGCATAATCAATAAAATATACTTTAAAAAAAGAAAATGGAAAGAAAATAAACAAGTAGTTAGTTGCTCACCTAGCAGACTTGTGAAAGCTGAAACCTGAGCTTCCATGGGAGGGGTGAGGTTGGTTGGAGTGAGGGGACACCTGTAGGAAACCACCCAGTTTTGTCATAAAATCCCAAAAAGATCAGAAGTAGGAGGTTTCAAGTTCTTTTGGAGGCAGGGGTACAAGGTGGGGCTGACATGAAGATGGTTGATTGAGTATGTCCCAAAGGATCCTGGGTTCCTCATAGCTCATCCAAGCTCAAATGTCTCTACTTTTTCCTTTTCCAATGACTCAACACTTCAAACTATGTCAGATCCTGACAGTTCCCTCATAAGATTGCACACTTTCACCTGCCTCTGCCCCCTCACTTCCACTGACAAGACTCTAAGCATACTCCCATTGTGTTGAACACACTACTCCAGTTTGGCCTCCCTGCTCCAGTTATTCAGATCTCTAAATTTATTAATTCAATAAATATGTACTATGTGTCAGAACTTTTCTAGGTATTGGCAATACAGCAGTGAACAAAATGAAGTCTCTGCTCACATCTAGTTGAGCAGGTTGGGGGACAAATAATACACTCACAAGTATATTACTTGTCAATAAAGAAACCCATTCAGACAAGAAAAAGTGTGCTATGGAGAAGATGAGCCCTGGTAAATGATGGAGGGTGTGACTGGGTCAGGGATTACTTTACATCAAGAAGCAGGGAAGGCATCTTTTGGTAAGGCACTAATCATGGGAAGATCTAGGGAAAGAACATTCTAGGCAGATGGACAAGCAAATGCATAGACTCTGAGATGGGAGGGAGCTTGAGTGTTCAGAACATAGAAAGGATGTTAGAATGGTGAGAGTCAAGAAAGTGGCGGAAGAGAGGGGTAGACTATGAGTTAAGAGAAAGGCAGGCACAGGTCAGGTAGGGTTACACAAGGCCTTGTGGGTTTAGCAAGGAGTTTGGATTTTACTCCAGTGTGATGAAAAGATGATGCAGGGTTTATACCAGGACATTGACAGGCTTTATTCTGCACTGGACTGGTTGGCAGGACCAAAATGAAAGAGGCAAGCCACTAAAGCTGCCATGGCAGCCCAGTTGAGAAATGACAGTGGCTGGGGTGATCCTAGTGGCAGTGGAGACTGTCAAGAGAGGGTAAGCCTAGGAATTATTCTGTAAGTAGAGATAGGGTCATTTACAGAATGGATATGCGGGACATGGGAAACAGAGATGGCAAAGTTTACTGTAATAAGAAATATGTGCCCAAGATCACATGATTAAACCATTCAAAAACCATCAATGGCTCCCATTTGCCCAGAGAATGATGTCCAAACTCCCTACCTGGCCTAGCTCTCTCTCTCCCCAAACTTCTCTCCCTATTTATTTTTACACATTATATACCCCAGCCAACTTGGACTTCCTGTATCCCATGACCCGAAGATTTCCCCTAGGTCCATGGCTATGAAATGTCCTTCCTGGTTGGTTCCCTTTCCTCCCAAGAGCCTAATCTGTTCTTCAGCTCTAAGGCCTTTATACAGATTATGGGGTGAGGGGGTCTGACTCACCTTTGAAACCCTCTTAGTGACTAAGTAGGTGCTTTTACTCATTGACCACCTTCCCCATCCCCAACCTCAACACACACACACACACACACACACACACACACACACACACTCCTGCTATGTGTGGTGTGTGGCATGAAGACAATAAGATAGTATGTGAGTGCTCTGAAAGGGGATGGGAACCCAGGTCATCATGGAAGCTTATTATCCGGACTCATCATCCTTAGTATGAATTCAATAATTTAATGAAACAATGCTTAGCACTATATAAAGGTTCCAAATTTTTCATGGGACGTACTTAGATTTCATATTATCATCATGATGTTAAAAAAAAAAAAGAGAAGATTTTGAGTTTCAGGCAGCAACTGTGCTCTTAAGCAAGATATATTAAAAAATAAAAACATGCTTCCACTTCTTCATTATAAATCAAGGATACTGAAAGACAACTTTCTAGGCTACTTTGAGGATTGATTATGAACTTTGTAACCTTTAAGGTGCTACTTAAACATTTGGTGGTAGTAATACTGATGATAGAAAAGACACTTTATAGC